AAAATAATAAAACATCATAAGGATATAAAAAATAATAGAGAAATCAAAACATAAAAAGAAATGTTTATTTAATAATCGTTTGAAAATGTCAGTAACAGTAACAGCGGTATGAGTAGATGGTTCGAAGTTCTTGTTACAGGTGATGCTAGGCCCAGTCTGTCTACTGGTAGTTGATGACAGCAAGTCCCAGTCCCTCCTTTGGCTGACCATCATAGTCTCCGTTGACAAATTTTTCATAAACCTCCCATCTAYGATGGTAGATAACGGCTACACTGTCTGTCCTGAACATCTCTTTACTCGAGATGACGAACGCAAGCTCTTTGAGTTGGTAAAGTACTCCTTCTTGAACGTTCTCGTCATCTTCAAACCCTAGGTTGAATGATTCTGATAAACACAGACATCTGTTTTACTCATAAGATCAACGCTGCAGTATGGGAATGATCATATGCGTAAAACTAGGACCCCACCCCTCGCCCCCTTAATCGAATTGATGCGTGATTTTTGCAGTTTTCTTATCCCCATTTATCAAAATGTATGAATTATAATTGTCAATTTGACATCTCTCTATGCCTGTTGCTGTTGTATTGGGGTATGAATGCTTACCTGATTGACTAGCATCATTAAGTTCTTTCCCAAGAACCTTAGCTGTMGACAACGCCACATCGAGACGGAATACAGCATCATTGTTATAGAATTGTTTAACGAAATCCAGAGCTGTAATGTAAGCCTCGTGCATGGTAACCTCAAGTGTCCARTCTAACATATAGAACTCACCAGCAATTCCATTCGTCTTGGAAACCTATTTAAAAAAGGGCGGAAGGTTGTTTTAGTGCCCGGGKTTTGGTTCTAGTGGTATTGATGGATTGAGCTCTCTTACTTTTTCAATAGCTCGACTGCAGTCAGTCTTCAGTTTACTGGAGTTYYTCTTGGCACGTTTTATAGCATTTTTACTTCCCATGGCCCTGTAGGTATGTTCGGCTGGCTGCCCCGGTACAACTACTATTATTCGTCTGTTTTCCTTACCAAGGTATCGCACATAGTCCTCGATGACTCTCGATTTGTAGAAAGGATTACCAGGACTCATCCCAAACAGCACAACGCCATTAGTATTCATTACATCTTGTCCTGTCTTATAAACAAGACCGGCTCCACCTTCAATCAGATTGAGATTCATAATTGAAATCTTTTTTGCTTTTTTTCTGATGATCAGCAGTGTGTCAAGGCAAATCCAGGCAATATACTATCGAGCAAAGTACATCCAGAACAGCTTATATGTCTTATATTTGCCTTTGGGAAATGGTCACGTGATGGAGGCCGTACGTCCCAGAGCCGTACAAACCCGTATCTTCCCCGCTTGAAGTTCCGCGCGCTTTTATTTTTATTTTTTACACATCTTTTCATCAAAGAAATAGCTTAAAAAACGCTGTTATATGAGAAAATGCTTATTGACTGAGTTAGGTTGGGCCGTATGGGAAAATATTTGGCTCTCGGTCATTTGTACAGACCTCGCTGCGCTCGTTCCGTAAGGCATAACCTCGAGCCAAATGTTTTCCCGTACGGCCCTCCCACTCAGTCAATAAGTACATAATACTTTGAGTATTTTGTGATATTTCAGACTATCACACACCTAAGGTTTTCTCACTTGAACCCGTTTTGAGCGTATTTTCCTCAATCATATAAAGATTTTCTTTTATAGATTTTACAGACTTCATAGAAATTTCCAATTTTTTTTAGAATCTCAAAAGGAACTTTCATGATCATTGGATCATGACTTGATCATATGATCATTGGATGACTATCAGCGAAAATTCTTAAAATCCCCTCTATAAACAGTACATCTATATATAATTTCATAAGTGTATATAATAATTCTAGCGCGCTGATTGGTCGAATTTGACGCTTCAATGAGCGATGTTCACCTATAGGCGAATATTGGAGATTTTTTTCGCAAAATGGCGTCGTCCGCGAGTCGTTGGATTAAACAACTGGATTAAAAAAATTGGATTAAAACTTTTTACAGGTAAGTTTTGTTTATTTGATAATAAAAACCTTGTCTAAAACTACTTTTTTATCTATCGTTTTACGTCAAACAGGCTGAAATTTGTAGGTTTTCGCCTGGTTTGTTTACATTTTACTCGATACATTTTTTGACAGAATGGATCCAACAACAGTCTGAATTTACTGTCATCTTTGAAGACATGGATACAAGTGAATTAAACAAGTGTCTGTCAAAGTTTTACGTGTCCATAAGGAAGAAAGACGTCTTTGCTGTCAATCCGTGCGGCCCTCGACGCCATCTTCAATCCCCGCCACATAATATTTTACGAAAATGCAGTAGTTCTTTTTTCTCTATTTTTATGAATATTCACTTATGAAATTATACTAAAACAATTATTCACCTCGTGCTCAGTGATTACCAAATTGACAGTCACTTCGCCCTCGGCGAATAATTGAATTCTGATATTGGCAGGTATGCCAGTACATAAAAAAAACAGTTTGCGGTTACTTTCTCTTTTTTTAAATGAGATCGAAGTAAAGGTTCATGAAAAGATTGTTTATGTTAGTACAATGGAGAGATATGGAGAGACAGACATTGCAAAAACTCAAAAACAAACAGGCAAGTAAAAATGACCTTTAGAAAAATAAACATTATTTCATATAATCCTCCCATTCTTTCACAAGATTTATTCTGACTGCGCATTGTATGTTACATTGACAACTATAATCGATTCATGTGATCCTTGGCGTGACAGATCTTTAAGAATGGGGGGACATGCTTAAATTATTGTATGTCTCTCTTAATCATTCAGCTGAATTATTCAACTGCCCCCCCCCCCCCCCCCCCCCCCCCATTCCCCGTGGAACCGCCCCCAAAATGGAAGTTTCACCATCATAAAACTTGTTCAGCTTTGGGCCAGTATTCAGAGTTTCAGAGTGCTGTCCAGTATGTTACAGGTTCCAAGATGATGATCACCATTAGTGTGGCAATCATTGCAACATCAATTGCTTTATTTTTGTGGATATACAAACGATTCAATCAGGTAGGGTAAGGATTTGATATTCTTTGACTGATTCCATAAGCCGTAGAATATTTATGTCTCCGACAAAATAATTAAGGTCTTTTAACTAAATTTATAATTAAAGTGGTTTTATCAAAGCAACTTTCAATATTTTGGCGTGTTCCAGACAGTCGAGCGTGTAAACGGCTGGGAAAGAGAGCCGGTATTCAAACGGAACTCGAGCTTACAGCTCAACAAATTTCGATTCTGAACGCCGTAGTCAGCAGCCTTTTAAATTTCAAACAAAAATAGAGCTGTAGTTATTATTTGCGATTCATAGAAAAGCTGTTGTGAGAACAATCATCGTTTGTTTTACATAGCGCCTGTTTAGTACTTTCATGGAGCCGTGACATACAGTTTGATGTGATTGAATGCAGCTATTCACAATGAGTTTATGAAAGCTATGAACAAAAATTCAGTGTAACGGATAATAACCCCTCCTAAAATTCCATCTGCCTACTCACTAATAGATGGCTAAACAGTCAGCCAGCTTATGCACTAGTCAATTGAAACCCCCGCCCCCCGCCCACCGACAAATACCGGGGAATCTAACGTTTGAGAGGTGTTAAAATAAGACATTTTTACCGCGCTACTGTGGCCCTGCTATTTTGGTCTAATAGTAAAGCAAACACCTTTCAATCACATTTTCTGTGATGACAGGGTTTTGTATAATCCTTTGTACTCATTTGCGTAATACATGAGGTTAACTGGACGGAGATAAACATGTGTAAGTTTCTTTTAAAAACCTTTCATGCTTTCATACCAATGCTTCCAGCGTATTTCTCAAGATGGCCAAACTCTAGTTTCCTGCCTCATACATGTTCAAACGAGCGTTAAAATCCCGCTCTTTGCCCCGCTTCGAAAGCAATTCATCAAAATCCCGACCCCCGGGGCAATCTTGCTGATAAAAGCACGTTAAAAACGCGTCACGTCCCCGTTCAGTACCCCGCTAACCCCGAGGGGTGGGCAGTCAGTGTTAGTATAAAAACTCATGAAGGTCGCACAACTAAAGGTTTAAGACAACTCCGTAACAAGCGATTGATTTCTAATTACTAGTATTTAGCTAAAAAGTCTTAGCGATTTATTACTGCTTTCTTTTCACAGCTTGTGAATTTCTTGATCCGAGTCAACCACAACCTCGTCCCCAGGGCCATCTCAGCCAACTCCTTTTCCCTCTTTTTCATAATTATTAATTATTAATTATTATTATTATTAATTATAAATTTGTTAAACAAACAGTACCTTGCATAATTAATGCTCCAGTGCACTGGAATATTATATTGGTCTGTAAAATGAAGATTTTGTTTGTTGTTAGGTTTATTATTTGCGTACTGAGTCAGGTGATTCCATCCATGGAACTGGGTTCATGCCATTCAAGCCAGCCTTAATTGCACTGAAAGATGCAAGCTTGAAACAATTCGGAATGTACTTGTTGCGATTCTTTCCTGGACCTCCCAAACTGTGAGTTTTTATCCACTTATATGAAGTTTTGTCAATTTCAATGCCCGAATGCTCCCCATGAAAACACGAATAGTCAAGAGTCAGCGTTTGTCTTGCTCAATTGAAAGGAACAACTCCATGTGGGTACACTAGTTCACTACAAGAACTGCCATGCATGACCTACCATGTGTACTAAAATAGCCAAATACCAATGACTGTGATAGTGCATGCACTGATAGTAGCTGGATTAATTCCCAGATATCTATCTGATTAGAATCATGACCAGTCATTTCTGTTTGCCAGACCTGTAGTCGTAGACAGGCACATGGTTGTGTATTCATCTATCGGTCGTTCTTGACTCCCAGATCATTTTATAGTAAAATTGTGCTCTATTTACCGTGTCCAGTCCGAAGGCCTGCAGCACGGTTATAAAATGCAGCGACTTTTTTTTGCAATCCCAAGGGACCCATAATCCAGAGTTCCAAGGTTCGTCCTCGACTAGAGCACTTCTAAAAAATTATTTTCTTTCTTCCTTTCTTTATTTCTCCCTCTCTCCTTCCCTCCCTTTCTCTCTTTGTTTGTTTCTTTCTTTCTTTAGACTATCGTAATCGAATAGCGTCGAACTTAGCCTGGATCGCGGGTTAGATTCTCGAATCGATCACTTCTTTTTTCTTTCCTTCTTTTTTTACTGAAATGTACTTATTCTTATTTTTCCTGTAGATATTTGTTTTACATATTTTACACGCAAGATCATACTTGAATAGCGGTGTTGAACTGACGATCTCTTTAAACATTTTTTTCTTTCTTTCTCTCTTTAACTTTAAAATATATACCCGTCCTTTTTATCTAAAATCATTTTATGCAAAGCAAACTTTCATCTTATAAATTCTTTGAGGATAATGCGAATGCAATCTGATGCTAAATGTTCGCTGCAATGCTAAAAATATTCAAAAAAATGATGTGAAAAGTTCTTACGCAAAATCTATCAAATCGTGGTAAAAGTATAAGCCTGGACACGGTATGTTCCACGAAGTGGTTCTTAATTGTTATTTCAGTATTATTACCAATCCGCAAATCTGATCTGTCTCGTGTCGTTCTTGACTCCCCTTTTATTACCAGATCATTTTACTAAAATTGTGCTCTATTTAATTCAGTATTATTACCGATCCGCAAATTGCCGTCAAGTTTATGTCCAAACAGATCAAGTACGAACGCATGGACGACTTCAGACTTGGCAGCGTTTTTCATAGACTGTTTAGTCAGGCAGTTGGTGCATCTAGTGGTGGAGCTCAGAAAAGATTACGCAAGATGTTTAATGGTTGTTACAGCACAGAACATGTAGAACAGAATGTTGGCATGATGGAACAAGAGTGTAAGTTGTTCTTACAGAAGATAGTACAGGACAAAAAGGTATGGAACCCAGTGCTGTTTGTGTATTTGATATCTAATTTAAAGTAGTCTGCACGAAACCTTCACTGATTATAATATATGGACATAAAAAAATCAGAAAAGAATCAAGGCATGATTGTCTGGAAGTGTTCATATGACTGCAAGTCAAACCTCCTCAAAGTCCACTGAACCCGACCCAAATACGTACCCTCTCTCTAACAACACCTTCCATCTTCTACCATCTAGACAGTCAAGATTTCCACTTTCTTTATCAGGGAATCTTAACCATGGATGACATGATTCACCTTACATTTCGAATGTTGATGAAGTTCACTTATGGTCGTGAGATTACAGACGAAGAGCTGCAAGAGCTGATTGACAGATGATACAAACATTAATTGAAGATTCCTTCACTAATCCGTTTGTGAAATTTCCATTATACAAGTATATGCCTACAAGGATTAACCGAACTCTTGCAGAGTTCGAAACTCGGTGGTTTCAGTTCAACAAATGGTAAGAAATACTACTTTTGAGTACTACTTTTGCCGTGATCAGATAGGCGAGAGATTTTGCAAGGAAACGTGACGAAACTTGACGAAATTTCAGCTGTGAGAGAGCGGGCTGTACGAGAAATTGATCATAGACAACTCCTGATGGAAACTAGAAACTGTGGATGTTACAGAACACGTTTTGTATTTACACGTTTCGTGCTCTATTCAACTTGTAAAGGTTACACTCCATTGACAAGCTACCTATTTTAATTTTAGTTTTGAAAAACGCTTTGCCGAAGGAAAACTGCAAGATTGTCATAGCGTTTTTTACAATATACAAGAAAATCTCGTCCAAAACCCAGGAGCATTATCACAAGATGAGGTACCCTTATTTGTTCATCTATTTTAAGGCCCGTTGACATTGGCGATTTTTGTTGCGCGACAATCGCCAACTTTGCTATCGCGGAACTCGATCGATGCTATTAAAGCAAGCATGTTCGAAACTCAGGCGATCGTGCTGTGAAAATCATTGTCATTGCTGGCAATGCGTCTATCATAAAACGTGCATCAATGTGGGAGACCAAGTGTGCCATTCTAGCTAAGGTAGCGTAGACTGAACGATGCAACGGAGGTTTCTTTGTTGTACATGAGACATCTCATAATACTATTCTGCTTTTGATTGATGTTTTTGTGTTTTTACAGTTTCTGCAAACACTAAAAGAGGCATCTCTTGCTARTGYAGATATCACTGCTGGTGCTACAGCATGGCTATTGCTTCATGTAGCACTTTATCAACAAGTGCAGAAGGAACTCAAGCCAAGATCATTAGCTCAAAAGTATATATTCTTATTCAATTTAACACTTTATCACTAACATAGTGGTACTGGTAATGGCCCTAGTCATGCATGATACATCAGTAGGTTTCCCAGAACAGTACACGTACACTACTTGTGTCTCTGTGTRTGTTATCCGTAASATTTGTGTCAAWGTGCGTTCTATTTTATCGATAAACCACATCAACCTTTTATTGATTCTAAGGCATCAAACCAATTAAGTGCAGAGGTTGTTAATGGGATGGATTTTCTCGGAAAAGTAGTTAAAGAATCAGCGAGGAAAAGACCTGTAATAGTTATCAGTACTCCTGAGTACGTCACATGTCCGATGATGATTGGTGATTTCCAGAGTCCGTCCAGTGTAAGTACTTTATTGTGGACTGTTTTAGCGTCTGATATTTTAATTGTCTGATATAATATTGATTTTTTCAGATCGAAGTGTCCATAGATCACATTGCAGTAAATAGTGACAGGGAAGTATGGGGCGACGCAGAAATTTTCAATCCCCGACGTTTTGATAACGAAACACCGAGCATGCGCAAAAGCCTCTGTCGCTTCGGTATTGGCCCGCGAAGGTGTATGGGATATCGTGTTGCTGACACCTTTATGAAAGTCCTGATGGTTACATTGCTAGAGAATTACACCATCTCTTTGGAAACTCACGTTACTGGTGATGATGACAGCCTACCTGTAAAAAATGTTGGACCATTCTGTTACCCTTGTGTGACTTTTAAAGTGTACTAAAGTAAACACATTGTCATTAACAAAGATTGAAACCATAGCTAGTACAGGGGGACTCTATTAACTATAGTGCAACCAGACCAATGGAACACTTGACCTTGTAGTATTACTGATACAAATGATTTTTGTCAATAGGAATGCATGCAATTATACACGTGGTGTATGAGGGACCATGAAGGAAACTTGCTATTTGGGACCCATTCCTCTGATGGCGTTTCATGCATGTATTAGATTATTATTATTATTTTTTTTTTGTCATTTGAAATCTCTAAGGATTCTCCAATCTTCACGGATAACGTCTGCTAACGCTGGAATGCTGTTTTTGCTGAAATTTGAGTAAAAAATAAGAAAACATTAAACTGAAAACATCCCATGTTGTCTCTTTTATTGTACTACTTTATTGTATTTTTTTTTCGTACTCTCCCTACGTTACTTAAATTATTATTTCTTAATTGGAATGTGTGGAGCTTAGACTGATTCCATAAGTCGTAGTATTAGCTCCTTGATTTTTGGGTTTGTCGCTCAAACTAGCGACAAAAAATATCCACAGAGAGGGAACTGGTACGGACTAATGGAATCAGAGTTCTTTACCCCACATCATTCCTAACTGTCCAATAAAGAAAATAATTGGACAGGTAACGATGTATAATTGATTTGGAAACATTTGAAGCAAGGAATCATAGTAATCCACGACCCTTCAAGGCTTCGGCTGATGTCCGGATTCAGGTTGTCTCCAAATCACGGGAATTTTATTATGCATGCACCTTTTGTAAATAGATGGGGTTCCTGTGTAACACAAAATGGCGAGATACAGCTCAGGTTCGGATGATGATAGACGAAGCAAAGAAAAACGATCGAAAAGCTCCAGAAAACGGAGCAGAAGAAGTAGAAGCAGGAGTAAAGAAAGGGGACGAAAATCTGAGTCATATAGTAAGAGCTCTAGATCATACAAACGACGAAGTAGAAGCTCTGAGAGAAGATCTAGGGAGAGCAGCTATGACAGCCATAGGTCGTCCTCACGAAGATCGAGGTTTATATTGCTATGGACCTGCTGTTGTTCATCAGTTTCTTTCTAATTTAACATCATTTTTTTCTTTTTTTGGACTTTGTTTAGGAGTTACAGAGGTATGGAAAGTCAAAAATAGCACAAGTTTATGATGATGATTATACACAGCTTACATCCAGAGATCTGTCTTACAAGTTGACTCCATTACTAGTAAACTTTCTTGTAAACAATATATACGCTCAAATTCATTGAAGTCCTTACATTTTATAATTGGAACTCTAATTGTCTGATTTCAAATTAATATGATGGCTTTGAATAAGTAAATAAAAACATGTGCATGTTTTGATTATAGATGGAAGAAGTCGGTCAAGAAGTAGTAGTAGCGATGAACACCACAGAGTAAAACGGTTAGAATGTTTATTGACATTGTTGAAACCATTGCATTGCTGAATATTAACACTAGTATGGTCTTTGCTTTGTATTGCTAGGACACAGGATCCAAATAAGGTATTGAATGWTACATATAATATGAGCAAACAGTAATATTCTATGACTGAACTGGTAATAAGAGTTACTGACCAAATCCTATATATAGATAATGTAGCAAAACAGTGTGTTTCTGAAGTGTGTATGTGTGGGGAGAGGGGGGGAGAAGCAATGTCAGTGTGTGCAACCCCTATGTAGTCTGGGACCAGCCTCAATGCTACTGTATATTTATAGCTATTTCAAAAAAAGGTTTTTGGATAAAATGGTGAATGTCAATGTAAGGTGAATCCAATAAGTGAAATTTTGTTTATCAAAACATTGACTAACCATATTCCCTTGCGGTAATGCAATCTCCCTTAGACAATTGCCATTTACTGTTCTCCCCCGGGGACTCCCTAATAAAAAAGGGCGGGGGTCCTTAGGATGAGAAGAATTTAAGAAGTTAAGAGAATTCCCACCAACTAAGTTTTGTGGTTCCCTTCAGGGTATACAATGACCCTAAGCCATCATTATAACATCAACAACAACCATAACTGTTAATTAGATGATTGATCTCAATACGATCCAACGGCGTTTGATTTGTGCAAAAACACAAATAAAATTGGGAAACCAAAACAAAATGACCTGTTATTGATTGGTCCTTCTTAGGGGTGAAATTTCAGCACTGCTATGCCATAATATAAGTCCCTTTTAGGGGTCATTTTCAGAATTTCCAACAAGGACCCACCCTTTTTTATTAGGATTCCCTCCTGGTTGTTCTCCCCAACGTTTTTTGAAATGGCTGTATTTGATTATGCCTTCTCAAATGTGAAAGGAACAAACAAGAGAAAGAATAAAAGAAGCCCTAAATGCAGTAGGTATGTATGAAATGATGTTTTTTTTCACCATGAATTGAAATTAACTTAGAGAACTATTTCAAACAACATATACTTATGGGGCTAGTTATAGAGTACTCACAAAACGAAAATGTTTGAGTTTTTAAATTTGCCCTCCATATTCTGAAAGTGCATCATTTTTAGTGCATCCTTGCTAAATATAAGTGTCCTAGTGCCATTTATAGCGGAGAGATGGTCAGATGACCACATACAAACGCTTGTAAATTTGGTCTTGTTCCTTTTGTATGTAGTCTCCTYTGCATCCATTTCCGTGTGGGCAGGAAGCCCGACACGAAAACGGATGTGAAGGAGACTATTTCGTATGTGGTCACCCGACCATAAAATCGCTATAAATGGCACTAGGACACTGAAATTTGGTAGATAGTTACTTTTTTCAATGCGCTTTAAGGATATTTCAATGAATCTGAAAAATTTAAAAAAGAGTATTTTTGTGACGTCACACTTAAGCACTCTATTCAAGTAGTGGATAAATTTATCCACTCAATAGATTTTGTATGGATTTTATCTGCCAGATAGAAGAATTTACCTAACTTTATTGACTCTTAGAAAACAAAGATAATGACTTACTGAGATCAAAAGAAAAGAAAATAAGTAAGTTCATGTCAAATGTAATTTTTTACCACACTTGAGTAAATATTTGCATGCTGATTGGCTGATTTGAGTGTGTCAATAAGAGGACATACACACTGTTCTGACACCATCACATCTCGTACGCACTCCTTAGAAAGAAAAAATGATTTTTTGCTAGTTTTTAGATTTAAAGTGTAGTAAAAAAACACAAATTGCACATGGTTTTTCGTTGTATATCCTCTTATTGATACTCTGAGGGCCAAACAGCAAACAAATCCATATCATTTACCAGGAAAGGAGACTGTACCCAGCATGAGTGCCATTGCCCAGATTGAAAGTAATGAATTTGTACAGCAAAGCTTTACATCAAGTGCTTCATMCAAGAGTGAGGTATGTTTTGAGTTATACGTCAAGATTGTGCAAAAAAAGTGGAAGGGCAACAAATATAATTATTCTCACAATTATCATGAAATAAATTTTTCACTTTCATAAAAAGTTTCAAAGATCAACGAAGAATGTTTTTATATTATTTTCCAGACTAAAGCAGTGGATATGGATGATACATTTGGTACAAGRATACCTTCTCTGGATACACAAAACATAACAACTAATACTACAGATGATGAGGGACTATTTGCAAGTGCTGTAAGTGTTTGGGTTATTACAGTAGAAGAACTTACAGTTTSCTTTATACCGTAAATGCGAGATTGAACTGACTTCAAAATACTAGCCAGACGGATAGTGGGTGTAGATATTTAGATAAATCATAAAGATTGAATTTTTATTTTCTAAGCTTATCAAAAATGCATATAATTGGAGTAAATGACATAATGAACATCTGCATCTTTTCAGCTTCTTGAGGATGAAGAAATCAAAATGAAAAGATGGGTTAAAAAGCTCACAAGTATGAGAAACAAGATTTGGGCTGATTCATTCATTTGAACATTGAATTACCTTTGCGATTTATTGTGCTTTAGTAAATATTGCAATAAAATTAATGTTTATATCAAACTCAATTCATTATGAAAATCATAGATTTCATCAGGAGTCACTAGTACGAAAATTAAAGAAATCCGAACCAGCCACAATACAGTGTGCACTCATGCTATTGTTACCAGGATACCACTATTAACGTCATCAAGCTTACACCGGGGGGGGGGTGTACTCCCATATATTTGCTATACGGGGAGGTGCCGCTGGCCAGGGTATGGTTTTTGGCCTTGCTGTCTTAAACAGGGTATACATTTCACCCGAAATTGTCTTAAACAGGCTCTACAATTTAGATAAAAGAGACCAATATAATTTTTTTGTGTGTCTTGGAYAGGGTAATATTTTCATAACACCGTAGAAATAGTAGAAATACCATTTCACTGTCCCAGAATTAATGTGTTATCAAAAACTTCTTATTGTCTTTGATGGATGTCAGTATATTTGCAGTTTTGATGGTTGCGGCGTAGATAGCTATTCCTTATTTTTCCGATTTATCTTGAACAGGGTATGGATATGGGTATGATACTTTTTAGTGTCTTAAACAGGGTCAGGGATTTAGACCGCTGGTGGCACGTACCTATCCAAAACGTGGTCGAGGATGCAAGGACCTGCACAGACCCTGCTTTAAGTATACTTTTTGTTTTCTTTCAATGTATCACTATCAAATATGCCATCTTAATAACATCTTGACACATGCCAGGATTCTCTATTTATTCATACTTTGCCATAACTCAGATATTTTTTTTATTTTATTATTTATTTTTTATCCTAATGTTTCCACAATGTATAAACAATGAATGCAACATTTCAAAATAGCTCTTCCCAACTTTATTTGCTATCAAATTTGTGTCAACTGGAGCCTAGGTTCACAAAATTAATTACACATTTTTTTAGAAAAGAAAGCATTATAAAAGTGAGAACAACCCACAAAGCTTTAATACAATGGAATATTAATAAATAAATCTTTTTTTTACGTTAACYTAATTCAATCATATCAGAGATGTAAGAAAGTTTTTGTTTTTGAAACTCAACAGTCATAGTTACAATAAAGATCTTGAATGTAAGCGTAAGCAACAAACAATATATACAGTACTACAAATGACGCTCCAAGTTTCCGACTAAGTTGGAACTTGAACATAACCACCAAAAGAATGGCAATAAGGAGAATTAGAAGAAGTAAAAATCCAAACTTCACGTGTGAAACCATGATAATCTCACCTGAAGAAAATAGTTCCTAAACAAATGAAAAACAAAAGTATGTTAAAAGTCTCCTTTTTTGTGATAGCTTAACGTGTTGCATTTGAATTTCTTTTTCATTTGTTTTTTTTTTTGGATCTGTCATAGTTAATTAACTATGCATCTATTGAACTTATGGGAGTGTAAGGAATATATTTTGGACATTTAAACGAGAAATTACCTGTTCAGTGTCGCTTAGCATATAAATGGGTTTCATCTTGTCAATCAGTATTCTAATAACGAATGGTAAGCCAAGACCGAGGTCGATATCAAATACATTGGATCCAATGGCGTTCGATACAGCCATATCTCCAAAGCCATCCCTAGCAACAAGTATAGAACTGAGAGCGTCCTGAAAAATGTACATGAAGAGTTACTACTATGTAAACTTACATCGACAGTACACATCCCATCTTGGGGTACCCAACACCACAATTCGCTTTCATGCACTTCACACGACACGCCTTGCGATTGGTCGTTCTAAGCAAGAGATTTGTATCCCCGCAGYCAGGTCGTCTCTTTTATGCCATTCGTTTTGATCTGTTTGAGAGACAAATTGCTACATGTATACTATTCTTACCGGAACGCTAGTTCCAATAGCAATGACCACTAGGCCCATAGTAAACTTGTCTACACCAAGAATACATCCTGAGCGGCCAACCARAGTCACCATGCCAAAGCTTAGTATGGCTATCCATATGATAGATGCAAAGAATGACACTAAGAAAAACTTTCGATTGTGGGGCTTAGARCAATCTGGAATCGTCCAGGTAAATAAACACATGAATGGGAAACCAAGAATAAACAGAATCCAGCTCAAAATGAATTTCGTCGGTGAAAGACAGATTCGTTTCTCGGATGGATACTCGGGGGTTTCAGCGGCAATCCCAGGGAGACAGGGACAAACTCGAATCTTTGGCTCGTCGTCCTCTTCTAAYTGATTGTTGTCGATGATGCGCACCTCGGCTGACTGAGGTCGAGAACCTTTATTATCAACATTTGTCGCATTCCCATTTGCGTCGAGTGGCATAACTGGGGTTACTGCGATTGGCGCTTGGTGACAAAATGTACTTTGTTTTCTCATCTCTCGTTGTATTTGTCCTTGTGCCACGGACTTTATTCGAATGTGCTCGCAATGCGCTGAGGATCCTCGTCTGGTGTGAATCTGTTCAATATCATTATGAGATCGTGATTGTCTGAGAATTGGGAAAGAGACTGAAAGACGAGGCATGTCATGCTGACTGCGTCGAACTGGTAGATTTAGCTGTTAAAAAGAAGAGAAAAGTAGTAAAAAATTAATTTTAGACGCAATGGCACTGAGAAAAAAACATGCCGTAGAGGGAGTGTACCTGTATGTATCTGCCATGAGCCTTGCCATATCTACTCGATCAACTCAGCAGCTTCTGCCTGTCTTCAAACTTTCTCCTAACTCTAACAACTAACACAAATTTCCTAACATTGCTAATCTAATTCAAAAGGGAAAATAACTAAATAGAGACAACTGTTGCTTGGTCATTGCATTTAAACTAAAACACAATCTGTCTAAAACCTGGACTTGACTAAAACAGAACATTCAAAAGAATGTGCTTTSAATCGCGACTTTCAATTGCATGGCAAATAGCAAGAAAGATAGTAATGATGCGATTAATGTACGCTTCAGGGACTAAGATCGCTCCGAGAGAAAATATCGACAAAACATAATACAGATACAGCCATATATACGGCGATGTCCTGTGTAACTTACAAATGACGATGCAAGCTCTCCTTTATGAACATGAGAAAAGCGTCTTCCAGGTACGTGTTCTATTGCTTCGTCGCTTCCACGACCTCCTTCCTAAAATACCGCGAAAAAAAACAATAAGTTAACATGAAAAGATGCAATTAGAGTACTAAAGGTTGTACACTGTGAACTGCAATTGTTACAATGCGCTCTGTACACAATGTAGATAAATACCTCTTTCTTGAGGGGTGGAAGCTTTCCTGCCGGTGTCCCATGACTGCCTTGTAGAGTGGTTACCTCGGGCTCGGTAACTAAAGATTCTGCATCACTTGTAGTACGCACTTCGGTGCGATGAGGACTTACTTGTCCTCCCTTTGGTCTAAACATCGATAAAACAAACATCACTTTCATATGGATGTATAAMTGAAGAAGAAAAAGTACACCCTCAACGGTCCAAAAGCGTGGTTTATYGTAACGGTTAACGCACGCTGTCCTATTATACTTATAGAATCTATAAAGGATTTTATGATCCCCACCCACCAAAGCTAACCACAACGTTAAATGCCAAATATACACAAAAGAAAACATTAGTGAAATTTCCAGCCTCTTTATAGATAGCATTTGAAATATCTGCGAGATATGTCCTTACCCAATCTCAGCTAAAAAATCCATAAGACGAGGGTTGAATTTCATCAAGACAATATATAATAGGTAAAGTATCAATAGAATAAGGGCTTCGTAAAATTCAAATACGCCATCCCAGGCAAAAAGTATGAAAAATCCTATTGATAGGGCGTAGGAAACTCCATCTCGAAGCATTGGTCGCCAGTCCAAATGGAGTGCCTAAAAAAAGATCAGATAAAGATTTATTACTTTTATATCGCGTATTTATAATTCATCTTGAGCTTTTAATGAAGCGACCGTCAACTTTGAGAGTTTTTGAAACTGTCCATCATAGAAACAGATTGAAGCGTCACCAATTTCAGTTAAAATGCGATACACGATCTTTTTCATTTACTCAGAGCCAGAATCGGACTTGACGGGGCTATCAGGTTATGTCCTCAGGCAAGACACTTTGATCTCTCAGTACCTCGTCTTTTTGGAAAGAACTTTTAAGTTAAAATGCTAAAAAAATTCCCGTCTCTCTACACTTCACATTGGGGGGACGTAAATCGACCCACACCACTATTTGACTAAGAGTAGGGTACGAAGTTCTAGAGACTTGAATATCCCCTACTGTTATTTGTGAAAAATAGCTAAGAGGTAATTATAAAAAAGAAAGAAAGTGTTGAATTTGGGAGAGAAAGTGTGTATGAAAATCATAATGAACCTAAGAAGTGAAACGTTTTTATCCTTAGGGAGTATACCTGTGTCGAGAAGGCTGCAGTCAAGGCAATGATCACTAACAAATTGAATACTGCACTTCTGTAAATATTAGAAATAAAAGTAATTAATATATATTGATAACATACTGATTAGTTTTACTTCTGTTTGTTTGGTTTTCCTGTTTGCTGGTTGGGTTGGCAGGTAGCTATAACTATCGACCTACCCTACTATTGTTCCTACACCAACATCACTTTCCACAGTTACCCCAGCGACTGAAGTGAACAATTCTGGTGCAGACGATCCAGCGGCCATAAATGTTGCTCCGGCAACATCTTCAGAAAGGTCAAGCTTTTCTGAAATAGCTTCCAGCGAAGGTACAAAGAAGTCATCGCAGATAATAGCTAGGGCTTAAAAGGAAAAAAGTAAAAAGTATTGTCACTAGATAGGAAAATGTTATTYGGAAAGACACTGAAATTTGAAACAAACAAAAAATTGAGAATATGTCGTCGCCACAAAATATTTACCAATAAATATCCACAAAATACCAGCAAAGTACAAAGCTGCCCATGCATAGCCAGTCTTGACAGTTGTCCACGAATCTGGTGCAGAATAGTTCCTTGTGTGGCCTATTTCAAAGTCACACTTTTCCCATTCCACTGTTGATAGGAGATGACGGGAAGTGAAAGATGGGACGTCAACTAAAATAAAATGAAATACGCACGTTAAAACTAAAGCAATCATAAAAAGGAAAGACCCTTGGTTACATAATTCTACTTCAAATATTCCATTTTTTTAATTCTTTTTTTTTTTGAAGGACGTTTTTTTATTACTTTTTTTTCTCTTTCACTTAAATCCTGCCTTTTCTTAATTCGCATCCGGTGGTTTTCTGTTGTTTTTATTTTCCTTCTACACAAGCTTTATCTTCTCTGAAAAAAATGTATATAAAATGCATATCTTTTTCCAACACGCAACGCATTATTCATGTCACTTTGCGCTGAATTMATCGCTATACAAAACAATATTTTTTTTCCATCTGACGCATCGTCAAATCATTGAGGAACCTGAACCCAGGACATATCTAATATCTATGAATATTGGAAACAAAATATGAAAATTCCCTGCTGGGCTTCCAAATATAGCATTTCTAGGGTRACAAAAGGAGAAAATGAGCGTTAGATTAGATTTACAATTGAATCACTAGACAAAAATTCATAGATATTTTCCGCTAAGTTATAAATATATCAACAAATACACAATAACAGCATCAACCACAACTCCATATTTCAAAACATCATCTCGATTAAAAGTGACAAGTCGCTTTGACGTTTGTTTCGTGGAGCGAACGTGTGAAGCACACTCTAAAAGCTGTTATTTGTCCTTTGATTCGTAAAGGTTTTGTGTTGTAAAATTAGGGATGTGACGAATAACGCTTAAAACTGGACAAGACAAATTAGCACTAGTGAAAGCTGCGGATCTATACATGGTGTATATGAATATTTTACAGAGACGTTATGTCCAACAAATGCTTTTTTCATTCCTTTGCGAAACAGACAAGACGAAAGCTGAAACTGAAAGAGGATCGGAGATGTTGTATTGTAAACTGCCACAACTTGATTTTTTGTCAAGGCCATCATTTATATGAATATATTTTAGTAGGAATTCCAATCGCCTGTGTATATGTCTTAAATATTTGATGAAATACAGGAGCAACTGGAAAAGAAAAACAGTAGACAATTTAAATCTGAAGCTTACGGCGATGTCCACGCTTTGTTTAGTGCAATTTGGTCACGAATAATACGATAATGGGAAACTAAAAGGCYTTASTTTACCTTCAAAAAAAGTCAAGCTGCTCGCTGCTGCTTTGATCACCAAACCGCAAGCTATAAACAAGACAACTGCCACGATACGACTCCATCGTTTGCTTCTCTTACGTGGTGAGGCGGCTGACCTGCATGTCCTTGCTGTTTTTACACAATCCATCAGTCCAACATGACTTCCACAGTTATACAGCCCAGAATATTACTGTTCATACTAAACGATGTAGATCAAAATTTTAGATTAGTACCTTACAATAGTTGAAAACAAAGCGATTAAAGGGTTCCTCAGGGAATATCTTTACTTTACATATACACATGCACAATGCTCTCTCAAACATTGCCAGCTTTAATCGCCCAAAAGAGAGTCACAAACAATTGACTGTTCATGTCATATGGGAAATGCTTTGCTATCACCACACATGTAAATATAATTTCACTTCTTTATAAATTTTTCAATCATTCTCAATTTAAACTGCGTTTCAGCGACGTTCAGCATATGAGAAAAGTACAAATCTACAAGAATACAGCTTGCAAAAGAGTTTACTAAGTTAATAAGCTTGTGTGGAATAAGCCTTAAACGTTTGCATATTACGATTAAAAGTACAACTTCAAAGGTTATGCATTCGAAGGCAATTAAAGGGATTATTACAATTAAAAAAAATGCCGAGTAGATAAAAAGAAGAAAAGGTACAATATAAACTGAATGATATTCTACCTCCCGTTTTCGCAAATAGGTCGTATGCCCAGGTGATTCAACTCTCAGTTTTGATTTTGTCACACAGTACTTGTCAAAGCTAGGGAAATTGATTTGATAGACCGAACCATCTATCTTTCACATGATTATTCGATCAAGATCTTTTTCTCAAGAGAGGTGACACAAGCAAATACGAGAAAAAGTTGTCAATCTAAAGCGCTGTGCAGGCGAAATGAAATATCAAGATACATCAATGAAAAGAGGGAAAATAGACAGTCACAAGATTTTAGATTAAATTGAAAATCTAAATACATCCTTGATGAGTGCATAGTCTAGGTTTCTTACCGTTTTCTATCATCCTTATGAAATATTACACGCTTTTTCGTTATTCCAAAGGAAAAGAGAAGTGTTATTTTGGTGCAGCGCGATGACAGTTGCAGCAGCAAGTGATTCGCCATTCACGTTGAATTTCGCGTCATGATGACGTCAGGGTAACTATAGAGACAAATGCTCTCAGCTATAATACTTGTAATCAAAGACCGATTGAGCGACTGATAGTAATCAAATCTTGTTTTGAAAAAAATAAAACTGTGGTTACATTAAGATTTTAAAAGAACTGGGATATTCATCGAGCAAATGTCTGTAATGTACCAGAATGGAAACAAAAAGTGACAAAAACAAACAACAAGATATTCCGATTAATGTAATAAAGCACCAGTATGCAGAATAAAAATATTTAAAGTTTTCTTTCCTGGGTATCTTAGCACATTTGAATAACATTGTAAAACATCTTTCAGCCTTGTCTAATGTAGGTGTTTTCTTTACGACTGAATCCGCAAATGCATTCATCAAAAAGAAGACGGCTTTTTAAATCTTTGTGGCTTTCGAATCCCAAAGGATTTCCATATATTAATGTTCTTTTTTATCGTTCTATCTGAGTGTTCTTCCTCTATAAATCTCATACTCGTACATATTTATCTAGCACTGAACAGCAAGTTTTGTTGAAGTTTTTTAATCAAATTTGCTCTTTACAAACAAGTATTTTAATTTTTCATTTCATATATCGATATCATATGGCGACTAGATCATATATTAGTAGACAATAAAGACCTGAGCTACACTGAAAAACACATGTCTGCATGTGTGCCTGTTTAGTCAGAGGTAGCGAGACGATGATCGATAAATATTGTCTACATTAAAATATTAAATGGCAATATTTATTTCCCGCGGCACAGAACCATAGTGGTGAATAATATACTTAACTTGAACTGAATAAAGTAAAGATCCTGATCAGTGACAACTCTTTATCGRCATACGTCATCCCCAGACCAAAATATCCAACAGTGTGGTATGTTCCATCGCTATCTAAACTACTGAGATCTTTTCTACACACTCAAACATCTCACACTCATTATCATGTCGGCCTTCCTTGAAATGAAGTAAAGTTGATTTGTTTTTGCATACTCTACTTGGATGTTTACATAACACTCTTATAAATGCCTCTCGAAATCCTCTATTTAACATGGCGTAGATTACTGGATWAAGTAGCGAATTGGAGTAATGAAGCCACTTCACAACTTGTGCTAAGACTTTAAGCCTAGTGTGGGGGATACAATCACTGCATGAAACATCAATGACAAGGGTGATAATGTATGGCGCCCAACATAAAATAAACGCGCCCATTACAATAGCAAGCGTTTTAGCTGCTTTCATTTCTGATTTGAACGACAGTCKTTGTTTAATGATGTGATTTGAGTTCGTTGTTAATTGTGTTTTCCTGTCAGATGTCAGGAGATCACGTTCATCAAACCTCTGTACATGCTCAATTAGCCCTTCAAGTTTTCTCAATTTCGTTGCGTGTTTCAAAGCGACTCTGAAAATACGAACATAACAAAAACACATGATGGGGAGTGGTACAAAAAAACTTGCTGTTGCTATAAAGTAGCTGTACCATAAACCAAATAAGGGTGTGGCCCGTATAGAAGCCACACCCAAGGCATAAACCCACACGATCATAATGTAGAAACATGCACGACGTTTTGTCAGGTGAGTTTTATATAGAAGGGGTGACGTTATAGCGTAATATCGGTCAATACTGATTACAGCTAGATTCATAATCGAAGCTGTTGCAGAAGCAATATCCATACATATCCACAGTATGTAAACTGCTRACGGCGGTGTTGCAATGGGCCAATGAAAAGCAACCGATGTAAACCACAACGGCATAGAAACGAACCCAACCAACAAATCAGCAACAGCTAGAGACACTATAAAGTAGTTGGTCACTGTGCGGAGAATGCGGACCTTGTGAAAAGCCATACAAACAAGACCATTACCAAATACAGCACCAATAGTGAGAAACCCGAGTAACATTGAAGGTAAAATGACATCGTCCCTTGCAATGGTTGCATTCGTATGATTGCTATAGCTCTTCATCGTGATGACTTTGCAGAAGTTTACTAGTGTAAAATAAAAAACGAGGTTTATATCCGGATGAAGGAAGGTTCAATCGATATATGTAACCAAATAAAAATGTTCGGTTTTCTAGTATTCAATGAAACAGAAATGAAGTAAAACCCTCAGCATTTTCTGGAGTTTATCATAGCATGAACACAGTCTTTATACATAAACAGCAAATACATTAGYAACATCATTTTTTGGCTTTTACTGAAACATAAATTTCAAAACATTTTCTCATTTAAAGAAACCCCACGTCAAACAGTGAGCAATGAAAAAAAAATTGATTAAATTCTTAAATCCTGTAGTAATGCACGTCGAAAAAGGTTTTACCTTCAACAAATGGCGGCTTGTGTGCTTTTTGGCCCGATGCACCTGTTTTCCAATACAGAACTAAAATTTTCTGCTTGTTAAACTGAGTTCAGATCCCAACGGAACGTATGTATACGGCTGCTACAGAAATACCGTCTAAAGTCAATAAGTCATACAATATCAATATATTACCTATAGCCCGTTAAGTGTCTAAATACAAGGGAGCGGATTTCATTATAATAGTTCAACGACAATATATSCCATGAAAATGTAAAAAGAAGTCTCTCTAAAGATGCAAATATCATTCAGAAAGCGCTTGGTATTGTCATTCAAAGATTAAACTTCGAAAATCAAGCGAAACCTTTCTTATGCTAAAATCTTGAAATATCTCAGTAATAGTAAGATGTCTTCGTTAAATTACTTTTTACAAAGGTTACTTTTTTAAGATGGCTTCGGTATGACACATCAGTGACTTTTGAAGAGTTTATAAGAGTGTTTASTAAATCGCTAAAGTACATCGTTTTCCCGCACTTTGTTTTAAATGGCCCGATAGAACTCTTGTCTAAAATTTCAGTTAGATTGAATGATTCGAAATAAATATTATGTTTAACAATATAAGGCGTTATTTTGTGGTATGTCTTCGCTTGTTTGCATTTAAAGTGTCGATAAATATCGATTATTACATGTATTTAAGAACATTTTTTGAATGAGTCACCAACTTATACGAAAGAATGCGCAATGACAAGACAATTAAGCAAAAGTAGACATGAGGAAAGCCCTAAAATAACGAAAATGTTTTAAACAAACTAAACTTACTCTTTCGGGGATACGAGACGTCAAGCTTACTTCGTTAATCAAATTAATGCTTGTCGCCTGTTTATAGTAGAGTGCAATAAAAAAATGTGGACAATTTGTCTCAGCAACATTATTACTTTGGTATGCAGCGCTGAAGATCAACGTTAAAATCAAGTGAACAAATCGATAGATAAGTAGACTAGTCTAACACCATATTTTTGGAGAAATAGTTGCATACTCTTTTCTCAGAAAATAGTATTGTTTAAAATTTTAAAATTAAGAAATATCTAATATCTCACAAGTGAATTATTTTTATTGGATGAATTATTACTATTATTGACTTTTATCTTTATGTGAAATAAGTCCTTTGTCTATAAGATCTGGGATTTCTACAGCCAACCATGGACCAAGCTACAAAACAAAATAATTCAATTTCAAATAAATTTGAATAATACTTAAGTATTGTACTGTGTGTAAATCTAGTTTCATATCATTTTGTTTTGTAATGATTCATGTAAAGTTTGACTATGCTAGAGGAATAGGAAAACATCAAATTGATTCTTGAGCTCAAATGATTAAATTGCCATTACTAGTATTCATTCTTTTCCTGCTATTCTCAACATGTATTTTTATTCTTATCCGCATTCATCTCATTCATATTTAGAACCACTTAAAGGAGAAAAGATAAATACAAAAATTCATATAATACATCAATGTATATCTAAAAATGCATATAAATATTTTTTTCTAGCATGTTTATCAAACTCACCCCTAATGCCATTGCATGTGCTATTCCAAATCTAGGAACATTTCGTCCCCATAATGGTTTGAAGTGATCTGTCATGCATATTTTACCTCCCCTGAAATAAAAATATCACAAAACATATAGTCAACAGTCTTGTCTGACAAGCTAAGAAAAAGGCATGGCATATATAATATCCTCTACCTGTACATTTTGGCAGTTTTCCCATCTAACTCTGGAAGAGCAATTTCTGGAGCTGTGGTTGGATATGTGATTGGAATCTAAACCATACAAAAATATTACAAATGACAMTGCAAATATRACTTTTATCAGTTCAGTGTACCATAAAAATTYCCCCCAAATAGCTCTCTGAATATTAATAAAATCTTTGAAGAACCACAAAATCTATAAATTTAATTGCAAAGCTGCATACAAGAAAGCAAAAAGAAAAGACAAATAAATCAATAATCCATCTTCTCTGTCTATGGTTGTCTGCAAATGAATATACAAAAGAGGAGGAGGGAGAAGAAAAAATGAAGGAGAACTCCTCTTTCTTCTCTCTGTGTGTTTCTACAAAGGAAGCCCATCCACAAGTTGTTATTTATGTAAAGAGATGCCTGTGAGAGAAGCTAAATCCATAACAACAGACAAAAAAAAATGGAAAACAAAATAACAACCAAATATTATTGTACTCGATGGTCCATGATACAAAAAGATTTTTAAGCAAAACTTTTGTTTAACCTGTCCGGCTCTCAGGGGAGGGCTGGGGAGGAAAGGCCAACTCAAGAGCCTTACGTTACAATTATTGTGTATTAATTATACTTACATCAAACTCGACATCAAATTCATATTTTAAAAGGTTATGGATATACCAACATTTTCCAAACCATCTACAGAAAAAGAAAGAAAAGAAAATGGTTTTAAGTTTAATACCCACTGCACTGGTTTAGGTAAGGTTTACATTTTTCTACTATTATATTGAAGTTACCTTGTTCCTTCCTTGTTAGATTCTAATCGAAACCAATCATTATCTGCCTCCTTATTATTGCTTACATACTGTCGTAATAAAAGACAGAGAGAGTTTAAATCCACAAAGAAAAATCGTTCGCTGTTCTTTAAGCTTATGAATTTTCCATAAAAATTTGGGTCAACCATATATTATATGGATACCTTTATAAGAGCAGTATATTCTTCTTTTAATCTAAGTACCCAATCATCCTTATCCCGCGGCCCTGCCTTTGTTTTTAACGAAGGAATTGCTGCTACAGTCTTCCTTGTCGCCTCGTCGACCATCTTGTTTCTTCTTTCCCTCAGTACGCATGTGCGAAAACTACGTTTTTTAGAATATTAGCTTTTCTATGGTCATTACATCTAAATAAATTTATGATGTAACTCCAAATGCATTCTGTGCGTATCTAAATCTCAATAATTTGAAGTTGTAGTCTAGAATTTCATCCTTTACTATTTCACCGATTTTGTTTAGAACACAGGGAGCCCAGTTTCAAAAGTTGGAGCTCCTGTGTTGTAGAGTGCGATCGTCAGTCATAGTTTTGAATTGKGGTGTTTGTGATCAATTTTTAATGATTTCGGTTAAGTGTTCATTTGATGTGGCTGTTTTTAGAGTGGTTCAAAGATGATTTGTATCATTCTAGTGGCTGGGCATGGGACGTTGTTAGAAAGAGAAATCAAGGTAAACATATCCCGRCCATTTTTGAAAATTTGCCGCCCAAAATAGCTTGATCTTGAAAATAAGCTACTTATAAAATTCTTGTTGTAAAGAAGATGATCTGGTGGACGTTAAGTACAAGCTCTTATTGAACACAACAACATATCATAAGATCTCCCATAAGTCACTTTCAGGCTTTTTTTGTGTAGTCTTTACAGTGATGATCTGATATACACAGTGAGGTAACATACAATGTTTAAACTGCAAATGCTGTTTATTCAGTCTCATGCTATGATTGGCACTAGAATCCATCACACACAAATCAGCAAAAACATAATCACCTCATTATCATGTACAAATTAATGACATTGTYGCAAAGTTATGCATCAGGGAGAGGGCTAACCATGATAAAATTGCTATAATGACAGCAATTGAGATAAGCAATGTTTTATTATAAGGCTGGCTAGTGAAATAACTTGGAGGCTTCAAACTCTTTCCCACTACAAACAGACATTGCATAAAAACWTGTCTACAAAGAGGTCTAAAGAGAATGCATACGTATGTTTACTAACCGCAATCACATTTAAACAATGTGAGACAATGCATGTAAATTAATGAACAATATGTATACTCAAACGCCCAATGACTGGAGAAAACTCCAATGAGACCATTGTGCCTTAACATATAATGCCCACTGTAATTGTCACCTAATAATTATCAAGACAAACCTACCTATTAAAGTCCTGTGAACTATATATGTATAGTAAAAATATTCAAAATATTCAGAATGATGTTTCTGGGAAGTACACAGATCTACAAGGAGTCCCAAAGGCCTTGCTTCCTGGTGTTGGTAGCAAGTGCATTCTTGACTTTTGGTGGGAGGCTATCAAGATGTAAGTTGTGTAAATTAGTTGAGTTTGATTGGTCACTGATACATATCATTAATATGCTGAATATTTTATTAGACAGACAGATATCACCATAGACCTTAACAAATCGGGCATTAGGAAACTAGTCATTAGAGTCAAAAACATTTAATCATTCACTGACTTTCTAACCTTCAGTCAGACAATAAATAAGGGTAAATTTAGTGTTGCATCAAATGCAACTTTGTTGATCTTTTGGTTTTGTACTTAGCTGCTATTGCTACACATGAAGTTATTTCTTTACAGGAGACAGTTATTTGTTGATGTGTTTCTTGTTACCAATGCAGACAAGTAAGCTACATGTAGTTTCAGTATTTATAAAATTAGTATACCTTGACTATTTCCAATATTTTAATTCATCTCTGATATTTATCAGCATTTTCGATTTTTACATTCCTCTATATCTTGCCTCTGAAATTAATCAGTGCTGTTAATTTTAGGTATAAGTATTATGAAAGGTGGGCCACAGCTCATGACTTTCCTGTGGAAAACATCATCAATGATGGAACCACAACAGTTGACACCAGGTATACAATTCCCATTCATTTGACCATTTATTTATCTAGCCATTCAACCATGAAATGAGCTGTAATTAGAGGTGTATTTGATTTTAGGCTGTTTGATTTAGTCTACTGGTACATTTTTTGTATCTATATTCATGCATTCAGAATGCATTGATTGGCCTGTCACATGTAATAAATCAGAAATTAATTGTTTAAATCCTCTAAAGAAATGGAACAGAGTGAGAATGGGGAATAATGATAAGATATAGCAAGGAAGAATAATATTTTAAACCTGCAAGCTTTAATATTTTACATGCAAGTAAAGTTTATAAACACATAAAATGCCTTTAGAAGAATAAAACATTAAACACAAAATGCTTCATTTTACCTTCAAACAGAATGGTCAATCATAATCCTCCAAAAAAGAAATTAAGGATGTCAAATTATTCAACAAATGGGTGTGTTGGTGATGATTAAAATCTATTGTCAACTTTTGAATATTAGTTTTAATCATGATATTATTATTAAATTGAAATATTATCCAATCTTAAACTTGAATAAATCATTAAACACTAAATTAATATAAAAATGATAAACACAAACGATATAAAGTTTAGAGTATCATAATTATTTTTATATGAGTCATTTAGAATGATAACATGAAGTCATGATTTTTTCATTAGACTTGGTGCAGTGGCTGATTTTGAGTTAGTAATTAGAACAAAAAACATCCAAGATGATATAATGGTGGTAAGAAATGAGTCACATTTTCACTTTTGTTTAATATGAAATCTCTTTAATATAGCAGCAACAATTATTGCCATAGGTTGCAGGAGACATGCTTTTCCAGGACAGAAACTTTGACATTGCTCAAGTTATTAAATATTTTAAACTCAAGGTACGTTAAATAGAATTAAAAATTGATAGTGATGAATGTTTAAATGTTTTATTATTTCATTTATTTCTTGTTAAGAGAGGAGAGCTTGCTATTTACTATGAGATGGRAGAAACAGAGAAAACAGAAACAAGAGGAATAGTAGAAGTTTGTGAGTCTACCAACAGGTAGTTATTCCTTTTAAAGACATGCATTTATTAAATGTAGTAGTTTATCATTTAAAATTTATGCTTATGTTTAATTGAGGGATATCAGACAATTAATTAACTGTATTGAATACAAGACAGAAGAGTGCACAAGGTTTGATTTTCTGGCTATTGTGCATAATGTAGAATACGTTTTCGTAGAATATAGTAAACATTTCTGTCTGGTAGATGTCAACATCATCTCTCTATGGTCTGCTTGCATGGTTGATACATCATACTTAAAATATTTTTAAATTGATTAAAATTCCCTATATTAAGGTTAATAAATATTGATCCTAGGATTGAAAGATTTCTAGAAAAGCCAAAACCTGATCAAACAAACTCACGACTTGCAAGTGTGGTAAGAAATGATAATAAGGAAAATTTCTGTAATTTTTAATAAAGATTGATTGATAGCCATTGTTTATAGAAATCAGTAGATTTTTCCATTTTAATGTATTATTATGAAGTCAGTTGTTCATTTRTAGGTGTTCTACTGTTTTCAAAAACAAACCTTGGGTACAGTTGGTGTATATTTAAAAGATAAGGCTGATCTAAATCAAAGAGGATTTGGAAGTTATATGGTATGGCCCTATATGCAGTTATTCTGATGAGGAATCTGTTAAAAGCAGTTTGATTATATCCAATGAAAAGCTGCTTTTAGTGTGTGTTTAAAGTTTACAAAGTAACATATTTTAAACAAGAACTTTGAGGTTTCAAGAAACCGGAAGTCTCATAATCTGGCTTGTATGCTATATGCGTGCTGATATCCCTGGGAATTTTCAAGCCAAAAAAATCAAAGAGTCATTCATCTCCAACCAGATCCTTTTTTGACTGGGAAGCTGAAGATGATCTGGGTATATAATGTGTGTGTTTCAAAAACACTGACCAATTGGATCATCTCTAGCTAATACCATATAATTAAAGCCATTGTCAACTACTTCATTAATTATAATAATAATTGAATGTCTTTTTAGGAATGGCTTGTCAATCAAACACCGGTGTATGGAATGAAACTTCCTACTGGATTTCAATTAATAGGACAAGTGGTTTGTACCAAACTAATGTGGGTTTAGTGCCATTTATTTGGATGTTTCTGAATTTGTATTTTGCTTACTGTAGAGTTTGTCTGACTATGAGAAATGGGTTGCTTACTTCTCAAGGATTACTGAAACTGGAAGCAAGCTACAGCCATATACTGCCAGGGCATATGCAAGGTTGTATGTTGTATAAACTTTCAGTGAAGTATAGAATATTGGGAGTAAATGAATGAATTTGTGTATCGTTATAGGATAGGTCTGATAGGCAATCCATCTGATGGTTTTAATGGAAAGACTATTTCAATGACTATTGCCAACTTTTGGGCTGAAGTCACAATACAAGAAAGTCAGCAGCTAGTAAGCTTATTAAATTCTCTTTTCAATTTTGTACAATAATGGCTGTTATTAGCAGAATTTAAGTGTAATTAAACTATTTATCAATAACAATCACCATAGGTTTTAGTGCCACATCCACTAAATGACCCCACAGAGTTTGGCAGTCTTGGTGACCTTCATGGAATCAGCCGGAAAGAAGGGTGAAGTTTAGCTTATTATATTCTATTTAGGAGAAGTGAAGAGAACAAATAGATGTAATGGTTCAGTCAGTATGTGGCATCTGAGGGAGAATTGCAATACTTCATTGCTACATTGCTTTAATTATAGTTATCTTGGAGGGCTACGCTTGCTGCAAGCAACATGTAAGAAATTCTACCAGTACTGCTATGAAAAAGGGTAAACCTGCATGTATATCTTTTATAATACTGCTGACACTGCACTTTATGTACAATTTCAATGCATGATTCATCAGACTTATTTGTTTTAAATTTAGCATTGCTTTGGCTAAAAAGAATTTTACCTTAAAGTATGATACCAATATTCCTCGACAAGTGGTAAGTTTTTCATGAAACCATCATTTTCTCTAAGTCTTTTTATTGAAGGAACTAGGACTGATGTAAGATATTTTTTTCTTAGGGCCTTGCTGGGAGCAGGTAATTGACATTGACCAGGAATGTTGTGATGATCTATCCAAAGATGATTATAATAATTGCATTAACAAATTGATATTAATGTGTTTATAGTGCTATAGTAACAGCCACATTACGGTGTTTAATGAATTTCTACAACATCACTGATAAGGTGAATTGATTTATCAAAACTAATGATATCATGAAAATTCTCACTACATGAACATCAGTCTTATCAGAAACCATTGGGGATAGCATATTAAATGCTGGAATGTATACTTTATTATGTGTCTTCCATTTTCAATTGTTACAATTGTTACAAAATGAAAGGTGATGTTACATGCTTTAACTTTCTTGTGTTCAAAACCCCTTTGGATTAAAAGTTTCATCTTGTGACAATGATAATAGCAGTTCAGTGTTTCTGTGTAAATTTACAATTTTAGCCTTTGTTTTGACAGGACATTGCCAAACCTCTTCAGCCAAAATTTGTATTAGATGTAGAAATGGATGAGTTATTCATTCAAGCTGGCTTGCAAGATCGTGTCATTCAGGTGGATTAATAACCTAAATAATTCTTGGTTTTTAGTTGACATAGATGGTCCCTAAAATAATTGATTACAGTCAACTCTCTTGTAAGCGACCACATCAGGATCAGGAAAAGTGGTCGCTTACGAGAGATGGTTGCTTACGAGAAGTTTTTTTTACAGAGTTTTTATGGGAAAAACAGGAAATTCGATATTACTCATGGATATGGTCGCTTACTAGAGTGGTTGTTCAAAGAGAGTTAACTGTACTCTTAATACTAGTCTGGCACATTTCTTTTTTTTTTTTTTTCTTGTCCATATTTTTTTGTTGTAAATGTTTTTATTGAAAATAGTACAATTTTTTCCAACGGGTAAAAAGCAACTGTTGTATTCACAGGCTATGAAAGTAGACTTCAAAAACTAGACTGAGATATGTTTGAGCTCATAATTGTCTCATTGTATTGAAAGGTTTATGAAGGCCTTGTGTTCATGGATTTTAGTGCAAGTTTAATGGCGTCTCAGGGTCATGGTAGGCATACCAATGATATATTTCTGATAAGGTTCTTAACTTTTTTATGAAATACTAGCAGTAATTATCAGTGTCATTCTTATGAGGTATTATGATCTAAGAGAAGCACAGCAAGACACTAGCAATGGCCATGATTGAGGTTACATGTAAATCCAGTACTAACCTTGGTTGACCTGATCAATTCTTTAAATAGGTGATTATGTGAATCTTGACATGAATAGCGCTCCTAATCTTTGGCTGGCATATCATACAGACCCAAGTGACTCTGGTAATTTTGTTAGGAAAATATTTTTATACCCTTTTAATTTTTTTCTCATCTTTAATGATGATGTTATATTTTTCAGGTAAAATACACAGTGATGTCAGGTTTAGATGGAACCAAGGTAAATTACATTTAACACAAAAGTTTAGATAGTAGCAGAAAAATTTACGAAAAATTGGTCGGTACCTAATTTTTTTTTCAACATTTTCTGCTGTCTTTACCTTCCTGTTACAATATATCAAATCCACTTTCAACGATTTGCTATTTGTCTCATTGAGCTGTTATGTAATGGCATCACAAATTTTACTCTCTTTTCATTCACTATACAGGAGATCCAGAAGTTGTTGAGGCAATGCAGCAATTTGCAGAACTTACAGACCTTGCAAAGTAAGCTTTTCATTCATTCCAGTGTGTAAACTTAAAATATATAAACCAGTAGTGAAAGTAAGTTCTTTTGTTCACAGAGAAGCATTGATGAAAAAAGATTTTGAAAGGTATAACAAAATGCCTAAATAATTGTCAAATTATCAATTTTTCATTATATTTTGTGTTATATTTTTCTTGTCTTTTACAGGCTGTTAGATTTAATGAACCAAAACTTTGATCTCCGAAGGTAAAGTATCCATATACTTGGTCTACTGACCTCAGGTGATGATGATATCAAATCAAAATGATTGAGTTTCATTGCTAATTGAACTTTGCCATAAAGGCTTGTAATCAAGAACATTATGGAAAATTATACTGACCTTTGTTAATTTAATATTATATTAATTTAGCACTTTATTCTAGGAATTTCTGTATCTTTACAAAAACAACAACTAAAGTATAAAGAAGGGGGGGAAAACAATGCTCATTACAGAAAATCTTACCCAGACAAAATAAGATCAGATTTATTAATATATAATATTAAGCATCTTGTTGGGTCAAATAGCAACAAAAGAAAGGGAGTTAAGGGGAAAACAGGATTTACGGTAACTCAGGAAGTCTTGGAAGACAAAATAAGGTCAAAACACATRCATACAACATTAAAACTAAAATATTTCAACTGATTTAGGTCAATATATGGAGATGAAGCTCTGGGACARATAAACCTGAAAATGATTCAACTTSCCAGAAAGGTAGCCTCAATAGATGWATCATGAACCCTTTAAACAAATGATCCATTATATGTATGTGATATTGAAAATGTGATCTTTTGGTTTCATTAAAGTATGGGTCTTCTGCTAAATTTCCTGGAAGTGGAGGTGCTATTATTGGCTTATGTCWGGATAATAGACAACTAGTAAGTATAGCATCATAAATTGTATATTATCTGCTGCACAAAGCAAACAGTGGTCAAAATCCCTTTTCCAAGTGATTCTGTTTTAGGCACAACAAATCATGYTCCAGTGAAAATAGCAATCAACAGTATCATTCATTGGATTATGYCTTGGTGCTTATTTCATTTTTACAAATGATTTAATATATGACAAAAAGGCATTTTTTACGATTTCCATGATTGAAGCCCTGAAGAATTAGGGGAAGTTGTGACTTGACCCAGAAGTACAAAATACAGTCAATGACATGGCACAGTAACGGAACCTTGCCTGGAAGAGAGTCAAAAAATAGGTAGTAATCTACTGCCGTTATAGTATGATACAGAGTTTTTTTGCGCTCTGCAGTGATAAGAAATCCTCTCTAATGATAATGTGAACTCAACAACAATGATTATAGCAATTTCTTTTGGTTTATACTCTACAGGAAGAATTGAAGAAAGCTTTTCAATCTGAAGGATTTGTTGTATGTGATATTGTACCTTATTCATAACAATCGTGATTAAGTATTTTTAATCGTGTTCAATACCAGTATTTCAATGCCATAGTTTTTGTCATGGTCCCCATATTCATGGGAAAATAACTTACTTAGTTCTCRTGCGATCTCTTATAATTTATCAGTCACTTATTACTCTATTTTCTTAGTCTAATATTATTATACAAAGATAGAACTTATATTTTATGAACTGATTTGTAGTTGGTCTCAAAACCAATACTAACTTTTTACCATGTAATTAATAGCATTATATTAATTAGTTATCATAAATATTATGTCTAATTCATTCAAAATATCTACTTCCAAGTATTCTAGCATATATACTAGAGAGAGTAAAAATCTAAAGAAACAAAGTAAAATCTTGTTTTTTTTAGGGGGGATGAGGGGGGMGAATGGGGTCTTGATTGCTAWGGGTTGGTTTTGATTGTAAGGGTGTGCTGCTAGGACCTCAAAATTATCCCTGTCCCAAACCCTAAAATTCAATTTTTCATATCCTACAGTACACTAAACCTAGCTTATTCCAGATTATAAAAAAAAAACAACCAAAAGCTACCCCTATTCTGACTAAAATGATGAAATTGTAACCCTGTCAGAGACAAAAACCATATACTATCTCATCGATCCAAAGTCAAAAAAGGATACCCTACCCCCTATATAGAAAATTATTAATTGGAACTCTGACTACCCTTGAATAACTCCAAATTGATATTTTCTCTCGCCCCCAGTCTCCCCGCCTCTCACCAAAGGAAGCCCAACCGTTCGTACATTAAAAGAATCTAGGAGTTATAGAGTTGCCTGCGGAGGAGGCTAGCATAGAATCACAGGTTCATAAATAACTAAGTCTTTTATTTAAAATTCAGGATAATATTCCCTAATTTACAAAAATTCGATCCATATTTCTTATATCTGTACACATTTCACATTTTCAATTGAGTCCATATCTTCCAATTTGAAGAAAATACTTATCATTATAAATACTTTAATATGTACAGCATGTACACTAAAAATGACTTAAAATTTATCTTGCAATTCCAAAATGATTCATATCAGCGTCCTAAAAGACTTGAGTCGTTTGCAGGTATGGGTATTGTGAACTGWACCATTTATATTGATTCTTGTTGTAAGARTAGTTGGCACTCGGAGAACAGTGTAGATATGTGGTTGGTRATGGTGATGTATAGCTTGCTTGGTCAGAATGTCCATAAATGGTTTTGATAGCTAGTCGCTTGCCTATACGATAGCAGACATCCCTAGGATCGATCCACAGCGCCAGACCATCAGGAAACAGTTCTTGAAACTTTAATGGCGATATTCCACTAGCATAACTGGCTTTTACAATCAATGGGTCAACGGTGATACTATCAACATTTAAGCATCTATAAGCGTTGCCTTTTAAAGGGCTGTTTGGGTGCCAATGATTCTGAAAACGTTCTGTTATTAGGTATTCCAAGTTGTCTCGAAATAACTCTATTTGGTCGCCAGAGAGTTCTGTGTTCGACGATAAATAGTCTGATAAAAAGTTCACGGCTGAGCTGACTTCTTGTTTCATTTTATCACAGGATTTAATATAATGTTCCTCTTGCTAATGTTAACGTAAAGAATTTAGTCCTTCTACCAAGATGTGCTTTTATAAGTGAAGCTTCGACGCTTCGAACCTTCGCGTGTAAACGGGGAAAACAACACGACCAAAATAGAAACAGCATCATTTCCAACCAATCACAGAGTTTTTCATACAAAGGTATCTATGGAAACAAAGGAGGAGCGAGATTGCGCGTCAGTGACGCAAGAAAGTGAAAGTGTGCACGTGTGGATCAATTGTTCTGCGTCACATCCTTATTATAGGTCGTCTCCCTAGGGACCGACAAGAACAGCTTGCGTGGACAACATGCAAATCGAGTGTTTTTAAACGTGACAAACCAAACGTGCAGATAAACAGGCTGTATAAAATTGAAGTTTAAAATCAAAAATGAAGAGATTCGAAAATGAAAATTGTTTATACATGTTTTTCCAACCGTTTTGAAAAGTACTGAATGCGCAGCTTTTAACGTGAAAAGCTAGAAAATACAGGAAAGTGTGACGAACGAAAATATTTGATGAAAGATAAAATAGTGGATTAGGATTGATTACATGTATCATGGGCGTTGTTGTCGTATCTGGTTCTCATGTTATATTTTACAGTTATGGCATTTACACCTTACAGGACTCCAAACATACAGCCATATATTTTGTCTATACATTTCCTAAGTCATCAGGACAATGCATCATGACAGATACACAACAGACTGACACAGTCTAATGTTGAGACCAAAAGCTGAGCAGGGTACAGTAGAAGAATCTATATACACAATAAAGTCAATATACAATTAGTGTAATCATGTTTTAATCCTATAATTAATCAATTACAAATTTATCAAACGTGCACATAATGGGAGTCAGGTTTTTAGACCAAACTATTACCCTAAATAAAACTGAGATGCCCAACCAAAAACCACTTTTCCATAAATTACCATATTTTCAACCCTTTGGTAAATAGCACAACTTGCCAAGAGGTAAAAACATGCTTAACCTTGAATATAATTGTCAAATTAAAATGTATACAAATTTTCCATGATTAGACAAATAGTTGTGTTTAACAATATTCATAATTAACATTTTTCATCTAACAAAAAACTTAAAAACTTATAAAATTACAATTTTGGTTTCTAAAATTCTGTAAAAAATTACCCTTAATTAAAATGTAACAGATGTGTTACCATGGACACTGATTCATATATCTTCTGTAGCCAGTGCAAAACATGAAGCATTATACTAACAATGAATTCTTTGACTTACGTGTTTATTTGTGTTTATATATATATATATATGTGTGCACCATTGGAATGATATTACCTTCTGAATTAAGTGATCCACTAGTTAAAGTTATCCACTAACAAGTACATGGATTGCAAACATTTTATGCATTTATCCAGAGGTTATTAGCTTCATCAATATTCTTACAACTAGTGGCCCCTGAACATTTATTATTCAGCTCTTTAAAGCATCGAAAGACTGTTGTTCTATTAAGTCCTTTTGATTATCACAAGTAATAGAACTGAATAGAAGTGTTATAATGAAATCAGTCACAAACTTCTGTATAGCAAAATAAACTGTATTTAAAAGGACAACCATTACATGTAATTAGTTTGAGGAAAATATTATTTTACATCATTAATTGTTAATGACATAAAATATGACTTCCTATTTGTTGTCAATTACTTCCTGAGACACTTAAACATGACTTATACATTAGGTTTTCCTTCAAACACTTCGACAGACATTCCTCATGACCAGTATCCTTCCTGTGTTCCAAGTCCTTATTCACATGAAGTCCAATGGTTGAAGTTTTACAATTTGCGATACTTAATAGAATTTTTTCGCCGTTTGCCAATGAAGTAGCCGATCAGCACTATCAATACCAGTCCACCAAGTGAGCAGCCAACAGCAATGGCAACAGTATTGCTGCTGTGTTTCTTCTTAGATGGCGAATTTGTTGGAGGAGCAGTTGGAGGAGGAGTTTGACAAACATCAACTAAAATATATCAATGAAAATGTCAACATTAAACTTTAAAATGTTAAGATAAAAATCACAAGGCAGATTACTGTGTCCCTAACTCCCATGTTACATACAATGTATAACCAAGGATTTATATTGGTACCACATTTTGCATTCAAAATGAAACATCTTGAAATACTGTACAGGAACACATACTCAATCACTACTTTGTGTTTCATATTATTGCTCATTGCAGTTTTGAATTGAGCCAGTTAAGAGAACATACCATGATCACTGAAGTGACCTTCATTCACATCAAATGGCTGGATCCTCAAGTTTTCAAATGTAGCAGTGATGTGTTTTCCTGAAGCTACAACTTTTTCTGAGCAATTGAAGGAATTGCCATCCTTGCCAGCCAACCAACCAACACTCTTTTCACTTATCAGTGTTTCCTTTATTTCTCTGACTACAAAAGCAATAATACAGAAAAACATTCAGTTTGAATAATATAAACAGGCACAATATGATAGCACTGCCAACTAAAGACTACTCACCAGTGGTGTTGGCATCAACAAAAGCAGAATTATTAGTCACTTGTGCATAAAAAGTTAGATTTTGTGCTACCCAATGTCCTTTAACATCACCGAACTTTGCACTCTTAAAAGTTTTAAAAGTAGCCTCCATGTAATAATATTTTTCCCAACTGATATGAATGGTTGAGTGGCCATTTTCACATGTACCAGTTGCAGAGGCTGACGATGCATTTGGCATGATCACATTGTAAGAAATCTTAAAAAGAAAGCAAAATTACCTGTTAATTATAATAGGGATGTCTAATTTTATGCAGCCAATTGTTGAAGGTTCACACCGACAATAAGAAAGTGCAACACTTGAAATCACAACAATAAAAAAATAACCTTTTTTTATTGTTAGTTTTCTACTCTCGTTTGAAAGATAATAATAACTATACCATTTCACTGCTTGACACATTCTTGTATTTCACAGTAAACTCCAAGCTCAACCACATCAACAAGCATGTATCATTGCCTTTTTTAACACTGAACTTTCCAGTTGGCCATTTGGGAGGTGGAGGTGTAGTGGGAACCATAGAACTACTGACTGGTGCTACTGATGATGTAACATTTGGGCTGATAGAATGAGTGGGTGATATGGTGTAAGTCATGTGGCTTGCATTGTGCATTTGTGAGGTCATGTTGATGGAGATAGAAAAATTGATACTGGGGCTAGGCATGATTGATGACGAGATGTTATGATGGATTGATGATGAGATGTTATGATGGACTGATGACGAGATGTTATGATGGACTGATGATGAGATGTTATGATGGACTGATGATGAGACATTATGATGGATTGATGACGAGACGTTATGATGAGTTGAAGATGAGACGTTATGATGAGTTGAAGATGTACTGGGGTGAGCAGTTGATGTGTTATCATGTGTGGTSGAGTTYTTTGCATGTGAAGCTGGRCTTGGCATAATAATCAATGAGACTGTGCTTTGATCAMCAGCAGTGGTTCCAAACATAACTGTCAAGTAAATAAGTCAAGACCACATATCAATGGAATTTTCACTTTCTCTTTCATCATATTGTGTTAAATATTTGGAATGTTTGAATTTTTCTTAGATTTGCCATTGTGACATGGAACAAGGGACCAGTGATCGTACTAAGGTGGACCTCTTAGGCTTGGTCAAGATCACAAACCGTGAGAAAGGGSATAATTAACAGATATCAACTGGAATCAGTGGTCAAAATAAGAATACTTTAGGGGATAAGAATGGTCTAGCTCTCAATGAGCTCTCTCAAGTTTCATGAATATTTAAGTTAGAAGTTTTGGACATATCAGCAAGTTGCTTGGCGCAATTTGGCCAAGGTATTATTTATGTATTTTCTGAAATTAAAAAAACATCATTGTTTTAGCGACACAAAGACTTGAAATAAGCTTGAAAGAGCTAAATGTCTTAGCTTGGAGATCATGGAAACAGAAACTACGAGGTTTGAAAACAACAAGGCCGAGCTCTTCAAGCACAAGCTTGAAGGCGCAATCGGAGCMGAAGCGGTACGAACAGTAGCAGTGCTGTTCTATAGAGAATGAAAAAGAATAAAAAAGTGCTTTTATATACTTCTGTTGAAGAGACAACTTGAAGAAATATATAATTTGCATTACTTGACGACTTCCGCATCGCGTGAATGCAGAAGGATTAAAATTTCCTACACTATTATTCCATCTTTGAAAACGATCTTATTGAATTGAATCAGCTTATGTACTGAAAGTACTTACAACTGCAAAGCAGTACACATAGGAAATAACCAAGAAAAGTCTTCATTCTGGCAAAGGTTCGGTGAATATTGAACAAGACTGGCACGGACAGTTGCAGCAAACACGTTGCCGAGAAAAGAGAACTTCAGCTCTTCCAAGAAAATCACATGACTCCACGTTCCAAAAATAGAAACTTCGTTTGGAAGGGACTGGGAACGAATCCATGATGCGCGGCTAACACGAAACCTTTATGTTTTGGATTTTCACTGATTCACTTTTAATGCATCGCTGATTGTGAAAAATGATAGTTTGAATATTTKTTTCTGTKGTAMTTTCAGCTGATATAATATGATTGTTAGGGATTGTTAGGTGGATGGAGATTTCAAGGTTGCTTGCAGGGGCAGTAGCTTTCATGCCCTTCCTTTATTTGTATTAATTATTTATTCGTATTAGATTTAGCGATTTCCTACTTTGGTGTTGTTCATCTGGCTTGGGTTTGTTTGATGTAATTTCTGGTTTGGCTAGCTGAGTGCTTTGTATTAGCTACTAACTGCTTTCTTAGGTTTTGTAGTTTAGCTTTTAGGTCCTAGCCCACGTGCTCTTTTAGTGCGTGCGTTTTTTAGCTGCGCCCGCTGTTAGAGCGCGCGCGTTTTGTTGTTTTCCGTTAGTTGCGTTTGTTTTTGTAGCAATGGCGCGTGCAAAACACTCAGTTTTTAAGTTTGCTGAAGAAGGCCGAAGTGCCGAATACAGAAAACCACAGGCAGCCCAAGCTAAGCATTTAACTAGCAGATTATAGCGATATCTATAATGCATGTAAAAAATGCACGAAATTTTTAAAAGAAAAAAAAAGTAAAAAACATTTGTCTTACCTTATGATGTGGTCTTAGTTATGAATTTATGCGTAATTTGCCGTTTTTCTTTGATATCTCCTTACTTATATCACTGAAAGGCAGGACAGACCGGCTCTAAAAAATTCAATGGTCAGATCACTTTTTCAGCAAAAATTGCATCTTTTTCGTCCAAATTGAACCGAAAACCCTCGCCATAGCCACCACCAACCGTTTTTCCAACTCTTGTGTAAATCTCAATGTCAAAGAAAAACGTTCAACGGAGATTAATAAGAGTGATTTAGATCGATTTTCAGTCTTTTTCGCAAGCCGTGGTCCCCTACTCCACCGCCAAACGCAGCCAGAACCTCGGTTTGGCGAGGACATTTTAATACGCACCACTGGATGGTTCGTCATTGGTCGGGAGAAGAACTAGTTTTGTCTCTTCGGAAGCGAGGCTATTATGACTAACCATCCAGTGGTTTGCACAGGGAGCCGAAGCAGTGACTTTGAACCTATAATAGTTAAAAATAAAATTTTACTCAAAAAAATGGTCTACTTATATTTTATTCAGTGTCACAATGCATTATAAATGGGTTTTAAAAAATATAGGTATATATATATATAGGTAGGGGATATTTTTTAAAACCCATTTATAATGCATTGTGACACTGAATAAAATAAAAGTAGACCATTTTTTTGAGTAAAATTTTATTTTTAACTATTATAGGTTCAAAGTCACTGCTTGGGCTCCCCTGTGTGGTTGTTGAAGATTTGAGACCACAGGTAGCCCAAGCAAAAACGAAAAACGAAAAGTTCGATAAAAGTGGTAAAACTGAAAAAAATTATTTCAAACTACAACATAGTGTTCTCCTTATTTTTCTCAACACCCCTGTGAAGTTTCAGCTCATTATGGTAAACTTTCCCCTACTTATATATATTATATGGGCTACCTGTGGTCTCAAATCTTCAACGCCTCCTCGTGTGAACARAAATTCCAACTTTTCATGTCAAAGTTGAATGAAGCTATCGATATGTCTCTACCATATAGAGTCATAAGGAAACATCCCACTGACCGCCCGTGGATCACTAATAAAATCAAGCTATCGATCTCCAAGCGTCAATCTGCATTTCTTMAACAMGGCAAGGATTCAAAAGAGTACCGATACTGGTGAAACAAAGTAAAAAGTGCTATTAGATCTGCAAAATGTCTTTATTACCAAAAAAAGGTTGCCGAGATCGAAAATGTGAATTCCGCCAAATGGTGGATTAAGGACATAAAAAAGCTATCGGTTCACTTTTACGGCGGGTGAGAAAAGTAGATCTGTCCGCAGAGTAGTGACAAGTCTACACAGCTATCTGATTTTTCTATCTTTTCGTCGTGTTTTCGGAATGAACAATTTCTATGCGCGTAATTAGCATTTGATGTCCTTTCTGAGAGCTAAAGAATCAAATTTCTTATGAATCTTTAACATATTAGCTGGACTTATTGCATGCCCGATAGCTGTTTTATCCAGAAATTGACAGTCAGTCTTTGGCATGTGCAACATTAAACCGCGTAACCGCGTGACGCGAATTCCYAAATCTCGAGCTGCCACGCCTATGTATGCATCGTCTGTGTGGAAAGGCTGTCGAAGCTGGGTGTAGTAAAAAAATGCTGGCAGGACATCAGTAGACAGGACATGGAAAGCACCATGACAGAACGGAGGCCAAGACGATTCGTTGAATTGCTCTCTAGAAATATACCATTTACTCCTTGGATTACGAGTAATAATCAATGTTGAATGAACAAGTCCACCATAAAATCGCCCGGGTGATCCTGCATTATGCAACCAGTGTAGAAGCTTATTAACACGGACGTATACATCATCATCAGTTTTCAGTACGTAACGACAAGAAAACGTATTGAACGCCCACCAATGCGCCATGAAAGTTTTGATGGGAATATTTTTATAATTATCTTTAAATTGACCAATGATAAGATCATTGTTCTCTCGCGCCTCAAGGCGGTTGTTTGCATTCGAGTTTTCATCTTGGCTCAGTCCTAGACTGAAAAACAAACTCCATTTGATAGTACAATTGTTTTCTGTGTCTTTTCCCCAAGACTCACGTATTGCTTTTCGCAATAATCGATGAATTCCGTTTTCAGAACCAGAGTTTACAACTACGACTACATAGAGATTTTTGTCTGAAATGATGGGTTGGATGTGTGGTGTGATGATAGGGAAATTCGTTCCTTCGCTGAACGTCGTCGAGGGATTGTACATTTGAGATTGTTCCTCTTGTCCTTTATAACAAGCCAATATAGATAGAGATGTTGCTGGTGCTGGTTGTTGATTACATGGACGACTATTAATCCCAAACAAAATCATAAAAGGAACAAAAAATAGAAGTAAAACACATTTTTTGTTTCTAACGAGTCTGAATAGATTATTTCTTAGATTGACTCTTCTTTGTCTTGCCATGCCACGCATGCTGAAACGAAAAATCAYCATCAATATTGACCTCTTTTCTTCAATAATTTTGGCTATTTTCATGGAATAAAGTCATGATTTGCTTCTAAATAAATCGGTCTTACTGACCCGTTCTTGAATAAATCGAAAGCGCCTTACATACATCAGACTTGATCAGATACACAGTGGTTTTCATCCGGGTGTGGTGAAAGAGACGGAAATCAGAGAACTTGTGTCTTTTTAGGGTGTTTTGTTACAATGTAGTTTTGTAACTTTGCATCACTTGAAGACACACTTTTAGAGGCTAACAAATCCTTGAAAGATTTTGGTTGGTGCACCGTGATTGCGTTGTAACGATTCAACTTCCTTGCTTGACAATTTCTTTTCATACGCGTAGCGTGGACTTAATTTTATGCACATGTCAGGGACCGCGACATATATTTTGGATCTGGGGGTCTAACGAACACCAAAGGCGGAAGTATTAAGGGAGTCTGGTCCTCCCCCAGAAAATTTTTTCAAAATTTGAAAGAAATAACTCTTGGAAATGCGATTTCCAGCATTTTGAGAGACATCGAAAATTATGAAAATTTTGAATAAAACTTAAGGCCCCCCCCTGTTAATTAGGTAATTTTACTTTGAGACCCCCCTATCTTTCCATCAATTTTATGTAATGCCCCCCCCCCCCTCCTGGTAATTATTGCACAGTCCCTTACAATCACTCCGGTCAGAATTAAAAACTGTACGTCAAAGCTTTATGTAATGCCCCCCCCCCCGCTCTGGTTTTACGGCCCTCCCTCCTGGTAATTATTGCACAGTCCCTTAGTCTTTCAGTCAAAAGACATGAAGCGTGGCCCCTCAAAACACCATTATTCAATTCATTATTCGATTCTTGAAAGTCTTGGTCTTTTAGTGTGCAAAAGGGATAGTTTTTAAAAACAAAAACAAGTAGCATGAAGATTCTCGGTCGATTAGACCTTTTTGCTCTATCGGTATTTAGTCGAAATCCGTGCACCCTAAAGCAAAGTGTATAATTATTCGCCCGTGGAATGTGGTAATTATACAAAACATATACGTGTTAATTATTACAAAACACTATTAAAATATCTCATTATTAAATCTGGAAATAGTCTTTCTAAAACGTCTAGCTCCTCTCCAACAGCCACAAACAAGAAGCATCGTGAATAAAGAATTGTCTCAAATCGTTGCACGCTTTTCTTGCGGAAGTTTTCCACTTCGATAAAAGTATTTGGCCAAAAAGCAAAGAATCTGACACCCTTGATTTTTCAAGTTCTAGTTAACTTTAGACGTTGGCTCCTCTATTTAAACACATAAAATTAGATTTAGCTCCCCACCTCTGGATTCTAAAATCCCCCCTCCTGAGAATATTGCGCAGTCCCTAAAGCATATTTTGTTCTTCACAATATATTGATGGTCAGCAGTGCCGAACAGTTCCTTTTTCAATGACAGTATGTTGCAATGCATCGACTTGTGGAAATTACAAAAGACCAGCATGTGTTTACATGGGTTGCATGTGATGTCATACTCAAGCAAAAAATATCGAAAAATCCAAGATATTTTTTTCTAAAGAGCTCTTCTTACAGTATATCTTAAATATACGTCTAAATAGTGTGTATGCAAATTTTCATACGAATTCAACGCTTTGGTGGCGAAACACAAAAATTTTAGTTTGTGCGGAAGTTAATTTATTCTACCGTAGATCGTAAATAAAAACTTCGAGATTCAGATAAATCATTCTTTCAACTCTGTAAGAAC